AGAGGGGGTTAAGCAAACTTGCCCCATGATCAAATCTCGTGCTGAAATCAATATAGCAATCAAGTTTTATCAAATGACTGCTGCAACAAAAAGAGTGGATAAGCAATCAGTTGGCAAGACTAACCATTTGATCACCAACAGGATAACAATAATGTCGAGGTGGTTAGTATGTAATAAACGGATAGCATTACAATAGTGCCCCAAAATAGTCCGACAGACCATCTTGTGCATTGTTCCTGGTCCAGGAGTGACCGATCGAATAATAAACATTAAAATAACACCTTCGAATCGACCCAAATTACCTTTTTAGTGATCGAAACGACCCCACTGGTGATCAATCGCGCTACCTCCTTAATTTTTCCCATCCAGAAAACCCTCTCGATTTGAATAGGGATCAGAAACTAGAACGCTTGCGCTTAGGCCGAGAGGGCTAAAGAAAGTCTCAAGTATTGAAAACCTCAGCGCTTTCGATGGAAAAAATACTCTTTAACGTGGCCTTGCAGCTTTTCCGCTTCAATAATGCCTCGAATTTCCCATCCGCAAAGGGCGGCAACGACCTAACGACCGAAGCTGTTACTAAAGAAAAGCTATGGCAAAGTTATGAGCGCAGTGATCAACTCAGCAAAGCTGATCACTGCGCTCATACTGAGAAGAAAAATCTTGGCGTTTGTGATCTATTGACATGCTTTAAGTCCTTATTATGCGCTCTGAGCTTACCTTACTGTACCACGTCGACCAGTTATTCTTTTGCCCAGTCGACGGTTCATTCAAGGCTCACCAAGCTAGACAAATGCATCCGGTATCCGTATATACTTCACCGAGTTGCTCAGCGCCTAACGCTGAACTCCGTCAGGTTTAATATATCAACCTGCCCTGCGATAGGAGGGAAGAGGATGAATAAACAAACACACAATCGAGGAGACTTTTTATGGTGGGGTGGCCGATTGTTAAATACTTTTGCAAAGGATTGTCTAGAACCCCGGTCTAAGATAGCCTAAATTTTAAAAAGGTAGAATACAGTGCTTTCAGCACATCTCCGTTTACGCTCTGTGGGGTATTGCTCAGACGACTCACCGACGGCAAGGACGACACCACGCTGACGACCGACACCACCGGCGCTTACCGACATCCAAGGAGGCCCCGTCATACTGCACGTTCGCAAACAAGCGCCGTGTAAACTGCGGAGCTCGTCAATAAGCACCGATGGTTGGTGCTGCGAAGCTGGAGAGTGCTGCCGCAGGGCACACACCCTTGCATGCCAGAGTAGGAGTAGGAACAGGAGTAACTATTGCGTCTCTAATGGAACTCACTTCGCAATCTACTTTGCAGCGCGCAAAACGTCATAGCTCTCAGCGAAGTTTCGCCGTGGACGTGGACGAAACTTTGGACCACGACGAAACTTCTCTAAGAGCGTAAACAGAGATGTGCTGAAAGCATTGAGTTCTACCTTTTTAAAAATTAAGGCTAACTTAAACCTAAACCGGGGTTCTAGATAATCCTTTGCAAAAGTATTTAACAATCGGGTACGACTCGTGGACCAGGATTATTACCTCCCAGTCATGGTCCGAGATGATCACTGCAAAAGATTGGGGGCCAGAGAAAATGTGAGGCGCCTTTCCACCAAGTATACATTAGAGCGCTTAAGCAGTTCAGAACGAAACGCAAATCTGAGAAAATCTGATAATTTTTTGGTCTTATACGTTCGTTTCGTTTGGAGGTGACGATTAATTGCGTCTCCGCTTTTTACAACGAAGCGGAATCAGTGGTGGGCTGGTTTTATCCTCTCTACAGCCTGTTCTTATGGAATCGGACAGCGACGACGATATCTTCGAGGAACGCCGCGTGGCGAGGGAAATGCTTGATGCTTCACGGTTTAAGCGGCTCCATGGGGGCTTGGTGACTGCATCCCGACTTCGACACTATGATATTGCATTACTCTGCGATTCAGGACCACAGTTCTCCATCCACCCGTGTCCGGTTTACTCAACGGCAGCTGTGGTGAAGCGCCAGTTGGCTTTGGTGAACAAGAAGCTGATTGATGGGAAGTGAGTGACCCGATCTAGCCCTGAGACTTGTGGTCGACGACGGTGCGTCAGTGATTACGTCATCATCCAGGAGGATTACGTAATCATTGAAGTGAATCGACATGATGCAATCAATTGGATGCACGATCTACCGATAAGGACGCGATCTAC